TTGAACCTAACAGCCATGATGAACACGTGGACTCTGCAGAAAGGTATCCCTCTGGTAACTGTGACGAGGAAGGGGGCTCGTCTGCTGCTTAGACAGGACAGATTCCTGAAGACAGTGCTGCCCTCTGACCCTCAGTGGTCCACTTTACAGAAGGGGTAAATACGCACATGCCTTTCTAAAATTTTCTACTATTTAACACATTGTTATGTTACTCTACATGTAACTCCTCTATGTATTACTACCATGACTTCTGTTTAAGATGAAGGATTTGTATCTTTTGTGAGTATAAATTTCTTTTTTGTATAGTTTCCTTTGGCATATTCCTCTGACATATAAGACAGACAGTTCCAGCACCATCCACAGACACCTGATGACATCACCTACAGGTAAGAGGGGAATATAAAATTGAATAAAGCTTTTCTTTGCCATTATCTTGGTCTTTGCTCCAACTTTTACTGTATATGTTTTATTCAGATAGTATACATATAGGAGAGGAAGCCAGCTGGGTTAAGGTAAACTCTGATATGACGGGCTATTACATGGTTCATTATGAGGATGGTGGCTGGGATGTGATGACTAAACTGCTGAGTGAAAACCACACTGCTCTGAGCTACAAAGACAGAACTCATTTGATACACAACGCCTTTCAGTTGGTCACGTAAGTATATGTTTGTGTGTGTAACTGTTTGTGGTTTACGTGAGCTAGCAAGAGGTTTCTGTATAAGAAAACAGCTTTGATTACTAAAAGTAAAATAGAAAACAATAATCTTCTCTTTATAATTATTTCTTCTAAAGCGCTGGTCATCTGCCGCTCAATAAAGCCTTAGACTTAATCGGTTATCTGCTACTGGAAACGCACACAGTGCCTCTCCTCCAAGGACTGGGATATCTAGAAGCTTTTTACCATCTGGTTGAGAAAAGAGATGAGTCAGTTTTAACACATAACCTGGGGGTAAGAACGCAGGACACAGTTTGATTTTTTTATGTCATTATGGCATTAGTTTAATGTGAGTTGTTGTTTCTGTTGTCCTGTGTTTCTACAGGCATACATCTTGCGATTTTTCCGTGCCATCATCGACCAGCAGACGTGGAGTGACAGCGGCACTGTATCAGAGCGCCGTCTTAGGACTGAGGTCCTGTCACTGGCTTGTCACCTGGATGACCCTCCCTGTGTGAAGCGGGCACGTCAGTACTTCAGCGACTGGCTCCAGTCCAACGGAACCCTCAAGTATATCTAAACTACACTTCAACACTCATTCACAGTCAGCAACCACATATATGATTCACATAAACAACTGCTCTTTCCTGTGCTAAGAGAGCTCATATAATCTGATATGTCACCATATCCCTAATATGCACGTCTGTGTTTGTGTTTACTTCAGCCTGCCCACTGATGTGGCAGAGACTGTGTATTCAGTTGGAGCTCAGGATGACCACGGCTGGGCCTCGCTCTTACACACATACAAGATTTCCCTCTCTGAGGCACAAAAGCACAAGATCCTGTATGCTTTGGCCAGCAGCAAAGACACCAGCAAACTTGAAGGGTATTTTGTCTTCATGCTGTTGTTGGAAAATATAGCAGAAATGCTGCCACCTTGTGGTAAATATGGAGGCATGTATGGATTAGTAACCTCAAAGTCTGAGCCTACTTATTGAAGTGTATGGTAAGCTGAAATTGAATTTTAGTTAGTAGTCTTTGTGTTCATGTTTGTGTTTTTGTTACAGCCTGCTGGAGCTGGGTTTGGAGGGAAAGGTGATTCGATCCCAGGATCTGTCCACCCTCATACTGATGGTAGCCAGAAATCCGAAAGGACATTACCTTGCATGGGACTTTGTGAAAAAGAACTGGGACACACTAGTTCAGAAGTCAGTATAACAGAGACTGTCCTAAAAGCGTGCCATATAAATGCAGTTTTTAATGCTATTTTTAACTATAGCATATTCAGTGAAATCTTTTTCCCCCCTCAAACTGGCCTTGTGATCTAGATTTGCGTTGTAGTGTTTAAAAGTACCATATCATACAAGCACCACAGTCTGGATATTCAGATATATTTGTCTTGACCTTCTTGTCTGTTGTCTTTCTGGTCTCCAGGTTCCAGCTGGGCTCATTTTGCATTAGAAACATCATCATTGGCACCACAAGTCAGTTTTCCTCTCCAGAAGAACTCACTGAGGTAAATAACATGGTTTATATTCCACAAAGAAGTTTAGATATATTGATATTCTGAGAGGTCAAATAACTAATATGTGCTAGCCTTGTTGCAGTTATAATTGAACGAGTAGATTTCTTTGAACTTTTTTGTCTGTTTTCACTTAAATAGTTGTGTTTTTGCCCCCAGGTGCAGTCATTCTTTGAGTCCATCAAAGAACAGGCTTCTCAGCTGAGAGCTACTCAGATTGCCCTGGACAATGTACTGAAAAATGTCCGCTGGGTTCAGAGGAACCTGGAGACGCTGAGAAAATGGCTGAATGAGCAGATGCAGTGAAAGACAGCAGGGACAAAGGTGGTGGCTTTAACATACCACAGAGGGACTATCTCACAGTTTTTTTTTTATTTGTTTTTTATTCAGAAATGTATATGCTTAAAATCACTGAAGGGTTGACAGACTTGTAAATACAAAACATGTGAATTTCAGGGAATTTGTTGATTAAAACAAGAACTAAAAATTACTGGCAGCTAAGTGGTAATGGTTTGTATAAGAATAAGTTTTGTGTTATTTTTAGTGTGTGTGAAACAAAGAGATTCATTCCAAAGAGGCAAGAAACACAGCATAAATGGATGCTTCACCATCAGGGGCGGAGCCCATGGGTGGCCAGGGGTGGCAACGGCTACAACAGACCAAAGTCTGACTACTCACTGCAACCAGTGATGAAGTCATTAGGGAGCCACAAATATAATCAGAATTCACACTGAGTTGGGACTATATATTTTTTTAGTTTTTCACTACAGTTGTTCTCACACAAACAGACTTTGACATCAGCCACACGCAAGTAAAATTTGAGAAGCTGGTAAAAAACAAACAACGAAAAAAGCAATGTCAGCATCAGAAGGGGCAAGTCTGCAGAATTTGAGAAAGATGGGTCACATGACAGTAAACCAAAAGAGGAAAAGAGTTAAACAAGTTTGTCAAATTTAGTAAATACATAAATAAACTGGAAAAATATAGCTAAGATCGGACTCTTATTAAAAGCAAATGCACTGCACAGTTCCTGGCTTTACCATATTCTTTATGTGCCTGAACAAGAACAATGAGCAGAAGCCAGTTATCTAAAGGAGTCATATAATGAAACAGAAGCCTTGTTACACATTCACAAACATCAGAATCAAAACAAACGGGTTTGAAGTTAAACACGAACAGTTAAATGAGTACTTACAAAAATCAAATTATTAAACACAACAGTTAATGCACAGCTATGCTCCTCAGTATTCAAATCAAATGCAATGACTTGTTTGCTTTAAGCTGTAATTTTTTTATATATATCAACAACATAAAAAGAAATCAACTTTGTAAATTTTCAAGATTTTTTATTATGCCCTCATGTGGAAAGAAAACATTACAGCCATGTCATGAAAAAGCAATTAAATGAAGATTGTTTTCCCCACATTTTCACACATGAGAAAAAGAATGCACAACAGTGCCACCACAGTGTAAGTAATAGTTTCACCCTGACCACATCTATACAAATGGCCAGATTCCAACACGGTTCACTACATGGACAATAAAAGAGTTTGTTGTACTTCCTGTATCTGCGTTTTTGTTGCATAAACTGAAACATATCCTTTATGTCTTGAGTGTAGATTGTGTACGCCTATATTATGTTAGGGTCTTGGTATAAATACTTAATGCCTATCATTAGGGTTTAGGCTGTAAATGAAAGTAAAACAATTTAAATAGCATGACAACAAAAACAAGGGAGAGAATAAAGGAGTAGGAAGAAGTATAAGCTTATTATTCCCACCACATCGCCACTGTTTAGTATAATCATCATTGTAACTTCCTATTTAAGTTCTGTCCTATCATAAATCTTTATTTGTTGTTATTATACTAAAACAACAAAAACACACACATAGTCCAAAACGTGGAGCTTGTTAATGATCTGAAGGCAGTTGGGACCACAGTCACAGAGAACACTTTCTGTAACACACTACACTGTAATGGACTGAAATCTTGCAGTGCCTGCAAGGTCTCCCTGCTCAAGAGGGCACAGTACAGGCCGTCTTAAGTTTGCCAGTGAACATCTAAATGATCCAGAGAAGATTTGGGGTCATTTCTGCTAAGGGTACAGGACAACTTAACTACAATGAAGGGTTGATGGACGGCACTGTAAAATCTGGATGAAAACCTCCTTCCCTAAGCCGGAATACTAAAGATGGGTCGTGGATGATAAAACCAAAACAAAACATACCACCAAGTCCACAAAGGAGTGGCTAAAGAAGAAGCAAATTATGATCATGCTGTTGCCTAGACAGTCTCTAGACCTCAGTCCTACAGAAAATCTGTGGAGGGAGCTGAAAAACAGCAACCAAGAACCCTAAAGGAGAGGGAACAAACCTGCTGACCAACTCCAAAAAACATCTTACTGCTGTGCTTGTCAAGAAGGGTTTGTTTTGCTTGGGATCAAATAGTCCCCTCAATGACATGAAAATCAACCTATAACTTTTATCTGTTTTTCTTGATTATAGTTTGATATTATGTCTCTCGCGATTAAAATGAAACTATCATAAAATCTAGGCACTGGTCATCTCTTTGGAAGTCAACAGGGAATGGAATAATTATTTCCCCCACTTTACACAAACATGCATACACATCCAAAATAGAATATAAAAACGCTGTATTTACCATATACACGAACGTCGTCCTCTCAGGAGAACCAAAAAACCTATTTTGGTAGGGGCGCAAGCATCCGTCGTGCACGTGGCCCCGCCTCCCGGTGGGAACATCCAATCAGATGTGAGTATTGTAATTTGACGGGAGGTCGTCAACAACTGATCGGAGAGGAGGAAAAGTGTCATTTGCTCGTGTGTTTGTTGTTTGCCGAGCGTTTTAGCGAGCAAGAGTAGTTCATGTGTTTTTAGCTCAAGGTGTATTAGTTAACGACAACCGCCCCTTACTCGCTTTTTAACTTGAATAAACAGCTATGGGCGATAAAGTTATGGAAAGCGGCTAACGTTAGCTAACTGAATGTATTTCAGTCGGTTACAATTGTCAGAAGTTGGCTAGTTTCAGGCTAGCTACTACGTAGTTAGCTACCGCTAGTGTAGTGTCAGGGAGCCTGCGGTGGGTTGTTGCCAGCGATAAAATCATTTCGGCTCTCTAGCGTCTTTGAGAGTGCAGAGGTTTCCCAATTTTTTTGTTTTGGACGGGACAAGATCTTTTGAGATATCTTACCATGGATTTGTTTGACAGTAACAGTTCAGGTAAGTAGACACGGGCAGAGGGTACAGTAAAAGAGCAAGCTAACAGCAGCAGGCCAGCTAATAACTGTCGGGACATTTGGCTGGGAGTGACATTCACCCGAGGACACATGCTGCGATTGACTTTTTAAAAACTGTATTAAAGCAGCTTTGTCTTTGCTGCGTAATTTCCTTAATTTTACTCTCAATCGATCTTGTTGATTGTTGATAGTCCTACCGTGACATGACACTTACATTTGCATACGAGTTTCATTTCCCCATAAGCATCAATCAGTGGGCTGCTTAAATATTTTAACTGAAATAAAGATAGTGAAACACATTTCTAACAGCTTAAGAACAGAGGTTGTGTTAACACAGCACCCTGTTACGTTTCAAGTTATCTGTAACAGCATAGCAGCACTGTTCGCTCGATATAAGTGTGCTTGGTTTGATAGCGGCTGTGTTTTCTCCTGACGTGGAGCGCCGATAAGTCACGCTCCCAGCCGCTCATGTTGTTTATAACCTCTGTTATGGTCCCAGGACGTGCATTGTTTTATTAGAGCAAACAAAAGAGAGGGCTGTGTACACACTATAACAGCTCAGAGGAAAGTAGCAGCAGCAGCAAAATCACTGTAGTTTGACTTCCTGTTTTTGTGTATCTTTGCGTGTAAGGAGGTTTGATTGTGACTTGGTGATTTTCTGAGACCAAACTTGTATTTCGTGATCACATTTTCATCAGATAATGATGTTAAAACGTTTACATATTCTCCCTTCCTATAAACTTTAAAGAGTGAGCCATTTTGCAGTGTGTTTTCTGTGTTTTATTACTTGGGGACACACCTGCCAAACACAGGCACATATTTAGCTGTAGTTCTGTGAGTCTGCTGTTGGGTTTGTACTTGTTTTGCATAAACAGGAAAACCCCAGTTTGCCGATAGACTGCTTTAGTGTATTTACACACAGACCTGTGGGTGTTTTACATTTATCCTGCTTAATCATAACCATCACCATAACCACTTCTCTCTTCTGAGAATGTCATTTTGCTCATATGAAATATCTGTTTAACGTGTTTAGTCACTGCTATTCTTATAAACCCTTGTAGACCTTCCACTTTGCCCATTGCTTAGCTCCTAACCTATTTATAGATATTCATCATGCAGCAGTGTGGTCCAGACAGGGAGACTGTGTCGACCCACGCTGTCATATCAGAAACACTGTACTGAGCACACAAGGAGCAAAATAATTCACCTCTGACATTTCTGGTCTGCTGACTTTCTTTGGGAGTTAAAGCTCATCTTTGTTTGCTGTAGTTGTTTTTGAGTGAACACTTTAGGTGTTCAGTGTCTTTCTGTGCTTTCCACTTACAGCCATGAAATGGAAAGTGAAAACTGTTTAGGCTGTAAAACCATGAATGGACTGTGGGGCTGAAACTGCAGAGTTGCACAGTTCATCATTTTAATACTTTAGTTATTGAATTAGGAAGTTGAACATGCCTCTGATTGTTTCAGGAATTACTGTGGGGAAAGTCTGGCTTCCAGGCAGTGACTTAAAGTTTGTAAAACAAGGCCTTCTCTTGTCATAAAGCTGCATATGCAGGTTAGTTTGAGGAAATGCACGCCTTTAAAAACTGCATGTGACATGGTCTAGTGATGAGTAGTCTTTGCTTTAGCGTTTTCCTATTTGGGGACTTTTTTCACTTCTTTTCCCTGTGGAGAAGAAGTTATTCCAGGTTTGTAATGTCTGCAGTTTAGTCTTTCAACAACCTGATAAACCTGTTCTGTGTAGATAAAAGAAGCAGGAAATACTGAAGAAGGTGTTCTAACGGGAAATTGCAAAAACTCTGTGAGCACTTTATGAAACGTGGCTTTGTGTTGAAAGCGCATTCAGTGACAACATTGCTCTTTGTGCCAGATAGTCTCTTCTGCTACTCTGTAATTCTACATCTTAATCCTGTTACATCTCTCTCCTTTCAATCATTTCCCTTTTTTTTTAGCAGCATCTGTCTGATTTCTCTTCCTCTTTGTGCTACAGAGCGTGCCAGCCTGCCGAGGAACATGATTGAGAACAGCATGTTTGAAGAAGAGCCCGATGTTGTGGATTTAGCCAAAGACTCCACAGCCTTTCCGGTATGCCAGTATGTCAGGGTTGATAATGTGAGCGAATTGGGGCAAATAGTTGTAAGCTGCTTCTGTCTGACAATGCTATCTCTTCATCATGGTAATACTTCATATGCAGTTTTAGTTTTCAGTCACCGCAGTGATGCTGCATCATACAGCCTTATAGATAAAGTCTTTACACTTTCTCATTCTCTAATAGTCACCAAATCCTCTCTTAAAGCTCCTCGATCCTTTTGCAGCTGCAGAAAGGACAGCTACAATCATTATTAAAACACATCTTCTTTCATTACCTGTTATCTGGACTCTTCTCTTACCTGATTATTGTTTTTATCATTCATTTCTCTGCACTCAGTCTCGTCACCCCCTCTACATATGACATTTTACCCCGTGCTAACTAACTTACATGGAAAGTCTATACAATGAATAGGAATCTGCATGATTTAACCAGAGGATAATAGAACCTACTGGATATGCTCTCTCCAGACGTTTCCTGCTCTTGATCCAGATGAAGTGACATATGAACCCCGTAGTTCACGGTTACTTGTGCGAGGCCTGGGGGAAAACGACATGGATGACGATGAGGAGGACTGCGAGTCTTCAGCACGTTTGTTGGGCATGTCTTTTATGAACCGAAGCTCTGCTCACAGATCCAACTCTTCTCCTTACACCAGGCAGGCACCACCAAGGTAAAGTATGGGATAATGTGCAGCAAGTTTACTTAAAAAATTATTTTTTCTCTGTGGCATATAGGGCTTCATAAATACTTTAGTATTATTATATGATCTGAGTATTTTTGGAAAACAAATTTTGACTTAGTGAGTCGGAAGATAAAAGTACAGCATGTACAACAACATTGGTAGTCCCTGTTTGCCCAGCAGAGTTGTTAGTACTGTTGAAAAACAAATATATATTTATGAAGAGACATGCTGTTAGGAGTCCTGTCAGAAAACTTGTGGCTACAATTCCAATTTTGTTTTAAAACTATATTATGTCATTGTGCCAAGAATGAAATGACAGCAATGACAACACAGGCTAAGATGGTCTAAGTTTGAGTTGTGCTTCCGGATCAAAAAAGTAACCATTAAATATAGCAAAGTCATAGTTAAAATAATTGTGCAGGTTAACCTCAAAGTACTGTTATTGACTACATAAGGTAAATGTTAAAAAAAGCTGTATGCAGATACCACATCCTGTCACATAATAAAAAACTTTCGCATGTGAAGGCTTCAACTTTCACCGGCAAACTGTCTCATACTGAAAGATGATCATTTTTATACTCGCTGTCTAAATGCCGGTTATGAAAGCTCGCATTAACCAAAACTTGACAATCAAGTTAGCAGAGAGATCCTCTTCATATTTAAAATGAGTTAGTGTAAGTAATGTTAATCTCGTTTTGATTTCAGGTCATGTTCACGACCCTCATCACGTACCATAGTTGTATGTGTGTTATTCCTCGTGATAGTGGCCTCAGTGACCATGGTATTCTACTTCCTACCTGGCTGCACCTTTACTAAAGTAAGGAAAATATTAATTAGTCTTCAAGAATATCAATTTCAGAGCAAAAACATTTTATTTTTCTCCATGCTCAGTCACACATTCATTGCTCACTCCAACTCTCTATCCTCTGCAGGCAGGTTGTCATAAGCCAAACAAGACCAATCCCATTGAGCCAGTCTACCCCATCTCCACAAATGGTGAATTGTTTCCATGGGCACAGCTCCGACTCCCTCAAAGCATAAAACCTCTCAGCTATGACCTCACCCTGAACCCCGACCTCGACAAAATGACCTTCACGGGCAGAACTGTTATCAGCATGTCTATACTTCACAGCACAAACCGCATTGTATTCCATGGTGCTAATCTCAACATTACCAAAGCAACCTTCAAAGTGGGTTTGAAGAGAATTTTTTGTGTTCTGATGAATAAATTTACTTTTTTTTTTTTTTGTCTGCTAGTCTGTGACTAACACTTTCTCTCTTCCAGTTGGGTGATGGGCAGGCCAGTGATGTGACTGTACTGGAATACAAACCCAGACAGCAGTTAGCTGTTAATTTCTCAGAGGAGCTGAAAGCAGGCCAGTACTGTGTTTTGACAATGGAATATTCTGCCAACTTCTCAAACGCATATGATGGTTTCTACAAGAGCTTCTACATTGATAAGGACCGAAACAAAAGGTACCCCTTGCTCATTGGCTGTTTATTAGCAGGCTACTTACCACAAGCTTTTAAGGTGGCGGTAATTAAGGCATTACTTAAAAAGTTCTTATTTGTTCCAGCTGTTGTAACTAATTATAGACTGTTTTTAATCTTCCTTTTAGTTCAAAGAATCTTGAAAGACTAGTTAACTAGACTAGTTAATCAGTCAAGATTGAGAGTGCATCATAGCACTGAAACAGTATTAGTGAAGGTTATGAAACATCTTCTAATGGCCTTTGGCAATGAACTCATATCTGCGTTTGTCCTGTTAGACCTCAGTACAGTGTTTGCTACCACTGACCACAAGATTTTACTACAGATATTAGAACATACTGTTTGTATTAGATGAACTGTGCTGCAATGGTCTGAGTCATATCTGTTGGATAGATTTCCAATTAGTTAGTCGTGGAGTTCTGTGCTGGGACCAATACTTTTTACTTTATACTTGCTTCATTTAGGCAACCTTATAACAAAACACTGCATACAGTTTTATTGCTATGCAGATGATGCACAGCGTTATTTATCCATGAAGCCAGGTCATGCAAATCAACTAGTTAAATTAAAGGGATGTCATAAACACATAAAGGCCTAAATTACTTCTAAATTCAGATGTAACTGAGGTTATTGTACTCAGCCCTAAAAATCTAACAGGATATTTACTTCAGATGGCCTCATAGTGTTACCTTTAGTAACACTGTGAGTCATCTTGGAGTCATTTTGACCAGGATATGTCCTTCAGCGTGCACATCAAGCAAATATATAGGACTGCCTTCATTCATGTGGACAAGATCTTTAAAATTAGAATCATCCTGTCAGAATGATGCTGAAAAACTAGTTTATGCATTTATTACTTCTTGCTGGACTGTTGTAATGCATTGTTATCAGGCTGTCCTTAAAAGTCCACGAAAACCCTTCATTTGATTCTAAATGCTGCTGTGAGACTAGAAAGAAAGACCGTATTTCTCTTATTGGCACCAGAATTTAATTTAAAATTTTTCTCCTTATATACAAAACCTTGAATAATCAGGTCCCACCTTATCTTTAAGACCTCTTAGGACCATATCACCTCATTAGAGCACTTTGCTCTCAGATTCAAGGTTTAATTTTGGTTCCTACAGTTTTTAAAAGTAGAATCGGAGGCTTCATCGATCAGGTCCGTGTATTTTGGAACCAGCACCCAGTTTGGACTTGAAGAGACAGACGGCTTCTCCCACTCTACTTTTACGTTTTAAGATTAGGTTCAAAGCTTTCTTTTTTGATAAAGATTACAGTCAAGCCTGGGTCTAATGACCCTGACTCATACTGTACTAAGCGTAGGCTATTGGGGGCTTCCCATGATGCACTGACAAGTTCATCTTCACTCATTTCTTTTCACTCCCTGTGTGTTTATACACTACTAGTGCATTTAATCGTTAGTACTTATAAAACTCCTGCCTTTTCTCTTATAGTTTTCCTTTTGACCTGTTTCTCTCTGCTGTCTACCCTTTCCCTTCACTCTCAACTGGCAGATAGTTGTCATTTCCCGAGCCTGATTCTGCTGGAGGTTTCTTCCTGTTAAAAGGGTTTTTTTCTTTCCTACTGTTGTCACGTGTTTGCTCACACGGGGATGTCTTGTTGGAGTTTTTTTCTAATACTGTAGGGTCTTACACTTAAAATATACTTCACATTAAGGCGACTATTGTTGTGAATTGGTGCTATATAGGAACAATTGAATTGGTTCTGCCATAAGTACAGACTATGGAGTCAGCTCATCTCATCGCCACAGTCTAACAAATGAGTGCTTTAAAAATAACAAATACAGAAAGAAAATGTTTTATGGAGTTTAAACATTTCCAGCATGGTCATGTTCACCCCCTCTTTTCCCCAGGGTCCTAGCAGCAACACAGTTTGAGCCGCTGTCAGCCAGGAAAGCCTTCCCTTGTTTTGATGAACCAGCTTTCAAAGCGACATTCCTGATTAAAATCAGCAGAAAAAAAACCTACATGACTCTTTCAAACATGCCCAAGGTAATTTAAAATGAATGAGTTTTGCATTATGATACTAATGGTTGAAACATTCTACTCAGTGTTTTATAAGGCTTCATTCATATGTGGTTGAATTATTTTTATTCACTTGTTCATTTGTTATTTTTGGCAGTATCCGACTAGATTTAAATGTATGAAAACTGACACAAGGTTTGAATTACATTTGGTTACAGTAGCATGAGAGTTTAACATCCTAATAGAGGTTTGGCTTTTGAAGAAGTGATTCTTCTTTTTTTGTACAGATGCTGAATGGTGACAATTTTAAATTAATGCCAGCTGTTACATACCGGCTTGGATGTACAAAATGAAATATGCTTTCTTCTGAGGAGGCTTACATGATGGGTTTGTCCACTGTATTATAGAGTTCACAGAGTTTCGATTTTTTAAGATACTGTCAGTTGCAGTAAACTTACAATTGTGCTTTGTCACTATGTAACCACAGTTTACAAAGCATAATTATAATAATATCCTGTCCTGAAGACTTTGTAATTCTTGTAACCACTATGGCTTCTCAGGTCACGGTGGGGGTACAGTCAATACTACCAGATGGTGTGCTGCACTGCTGTATTCATCCACAATAAGTCAACAATACTGATTTATTGCAGAGGACTTCAATACATCCTTGTTTTGTGTATTTCAGGCAAAATCCACAAATCTCTCCAATGGCCTTGTGCAGGATGAGTTTGAAAAGACCAGTGTTAACATGAGCACTTACCTGGTGGCCTTCATCGTTGCTGACTTCACCCCTAACACCAAAAATGTTTCAGAAACCCAGGTAGGTCTAGCAGAGAAATATTTTTCTGTTTCAGTTCAGCCTCTGCAAATATTTTTTTTTTAATGTATTTTTCAGTGAGGCTGTGCTGTTGTTGATAAACTATATATATGTGTATACATATAAATACCTTTTATTGTTTGTGTTAGGTGTCAGTCTACTCTGTACCAGAGAAAAATGGGCACACTGAGTATGCTCTGACCATAACCTCTAAACTGCTGGAGTTTTACAATAACTTCTTTGACATTAATTACCCTCTCAAAAAACTAGGTGAGTAAACCAATGGATATTTAATTATACACACTCTGTGCTCTATCCTTGTGTAACTGTTCTCCCCCTGTCCCGTTTTTACACAACCCCATATGCTGTCTTTCTCTGGTGTCAGACTTGGTAGCTATTCCTGACTTCCTGGCAGGAGCCATGGAGAACTTGGGGCTAATCACTTTTCGGGAAACCACTTTGTTAGTGGGCAAAGAGTCTTCTCTCCTGGAAAAACAAGTGGTGGCTTCTGTCATAGCACATGAGCTTGCTCATCAGGTACTTTTGTTTGTGTTTGTATCTGTGAAAAGAAACAGTGAATATGTTCACATGTCCAATGTTTTTTTGTTTTTTTTTGTTTTACAGTGGTTTGGAAACCTGGTGACTATGACATGGTGGAATGACCTGTGGCTCAACGAAGGCTTTGCCACTTACATGGAGTACATGTCACTGCAGGAAGTGTCGCCCGACCTGGAAACTGTACGTTCTGCCGTGTAGCTTGCCAAATTATTTGTCATAGTTTTAAATCAGATAATGTTATGTGCTCCTACATATGCAGTATGTCCTGTTTGTTTGCAGGGTAATTTATTCCTCTCAGTGCGGTTCAGAGCCCTAGACAAAGATGCACTAAACTCCTCGCACGCTGTGTCGACAGACGTTAATACAACAGAACAAGTAGAGGAGATGTTTGACTCTGTCTCTTATGAAAAGGTAAACTCTGACTTATAAGTACATCACATGCTGTTCATTAATTCACTTAACTTTGATTTCTAGCTGTTCATTTAAGGAAATAGTGACCCTCACATGAATTCTTGATAGTTTATTGCTAGTTTATTATTCTTTGTCTTCCAGGGTGCATCCATTCTTCTAATGCTGAATGCTTCCTTCCCCGGAGATCAACAGTTCAGAAAGGGTATCATTGAATATCTCAAACAGTTCAGTGGATTAAATACAGACACTGATGACCTCTGGAACAGCCTCACACAGGTATTAGTGGTGTGTTTTTTATGTTCATGCATATGTGTGTTTTTACTGACACAGTGGCTGGTTATTTTTTCCCCTTTGTGAAGTGGGATTGTGGCAAAATGTAGCCTTGGTAAAATTTACCATAGAGCTTGACCAATACAGTATTTTTAAGACCAATACCAATATTTGTTGATTTAAAAATCAATTTTTTTTTCTTTCTGTCGCACAACACCTATTTATTTACTCATTTACACTCTCCCTAAATCTGCATGGATCAGCTGGTTGTTGTGTTAAAAGATGTGCATGACTAATTGACTAGAAGTTCAAACGTTGCTGCTAGAAATAAGAGTTGGCTATATGTAGCATTCTTATTTTTTTAAATGGAAGATATTGTCAAAGATGTTACACAACCGCTGGGCACTGTCAGACTGCAGCCTTTACAGTTGGCTGCACACACCTCTCTGTGTGTCCGTGAAAGGAAATTGTAAATGAACGAGGGAAAAGTAAAACAGATGGCTGCCAGAGTGCTGCCTGCGCTTATCTGTAGTACTTTATAGTAAAGCATGAGCAGCCGTAGGTTGGTTTTGCCAGAATAAACTGGAGTAAACTGGAGTGTAGAAGCTAGACAGGAAGAAACTGAGGCTACTGCTGCTAGTTCTGCTATGGCTAGCCAAAGGCTGTAAGTTAATCTGATATTGTGCATATTTACAACATTATACAGAATGTAAAGTGCCGCACCTTTAAGCAACATTTAAAACATGATTGTCTAATAAGAAATATGATTAATGGGTTCATATAGCCCTTAAAATACAAATGAAATATTTGTAAGAAGGTTCTGACCTTTGGGCTCGTTGAGTAAACAAAGTTTTTCTCTCTCATTTAAACGGCTAGAAAATTAGTCACCAGGATGTATCCTAGTTCCAAACACCCAGGTTACCAAAAAGGAAGATGCATAGTGCCCTCTGGTGAACAAACTATGTAACACCAACACTCATAACCTGGTTAAAGAGTGTTTCTCCTGTCCCTGCTTTACTTTTTTTTTTTTACTTGTCATCTATCAACATTATACTTGCTGATATCAAACTAGTAAATAGATAATGCCTGATGGGCTCTAATCTACTGTAGCAGCAACTACAAGTGCTTTATCTGTACTACACTGTTTACGTCTTTGCATATAAGGAAAGATTTTGTTAGTGGATAGCATTGCAACTATGCAAGATACAGATGATTACATATGAGTCCTGAGTAGGCTCTTATAAGGCCTTTTGAAAATAGTCCTGTTAAATATAGATATGTTATATTACCTTGTTTTCTAACTTGGTAAATAGTCTCATAATGGAGATTATTTAGAACTTCTTTTTTTAAATAGATATTTTTATTCTGTTTACTCTTTGCTGAGGTATTGCAGTCAATCTATAATTCAAATGTAGCTAATATGCTCTACATAGAATGTTCCCTTGCTTGTTCTCTTGCTTATTCCCTTTTGATGGCAGAGCACAAGACAGATGCAAAGACTATATAATTGTGACAAGTGTTTCAACCTAATGACCTCAGTTAAAGTTGATGCTTTCATTTGCTTAGTCATCTTATTGTCTGCCACAATGCTAACAACTTGATCAACAATTCTCTCATAGTTTAGAGTTTATCTTTGATCTGTTCATCAAAGAGATCTTTTTGGATAGATTCTGTGAGTAGTGTACACTTTGTTGCCATTTGGATACTAGAAATTGTAATTGTTTGCACAAATTTTGAGAATATAGCTGCAAAATATGAGTCCCCTTCTACACTAATTCTCATGTGTGGAGAAAAAATGAAAGCGTGACATTTGGCTGCACACACAGATCAAATATTCCCCTTCCTATCCTCAGACCGATAAGTCCACGCACCACATGAATGTATCGCAGATGATGACATCGTGGACATCACAGAAAGGCTTCCCACTGGTCACTGTGAACCTCATGGGAAACCAGGTGACACTCGCACAGGAGCACTTCTTGCTCACATCTGACAATACCACGCATACGTCAAGGTGGGTTACACATTACCACACAGACAGACAGACACACATAAATCATAAGGACACCACCGTGCTAACTGTAGTGTGCACTCTGTTTAGCTTGTGGCATATTCCAGTGACGTACGTGAACGACAGCTGTAGTTTGGCCCCTGAGTGCAGACAGGTTTTCACTCTGAAAAATAAATCAGGTAAAAGACTAAAATAGAAACCTATTCTAATTGTCCTTGGCTGAGCTGCTCTCGAATGAAAAGTTTTAAGTGTATTCATGTGTTTATTTGTTTTGTTTTGGGGTTTGTTTGTTTTTTTTGTATTTTCAGACACATTTAAGCTGTCAAAAAATGTAACTTGGCTGAAGTTGAACTACAAAAATACAGGCTTCTACATAGTGGACTACGGAAAGGATGGCTGGTCTGCTCTTGCTCAAGCTTTGTTCTCAAATGTCGGCGTTCTTACACACGAGGACCGTGCTTCACTTATACATAACATCTTTGCTCTCTCCAGGTATCAAAGTCTTTTAATTGCATTTAGTGATGAAAGTCTTTTTTAAATTTCTTCTGCTTCATTTTGATGCTCTGCTGTTCCTCGTTTGTCCCGTGTCGTCACTAGATTGGGACGTGTGTCCTTCCTGCAGGTCATAAATCTACTGAAATATGTCTCAGCGGACACTGAGACTTCTCCTGTGACAGAGGCCCTTTTACAGCTCAATAATATCTACCGACAGCTTGAAAAAAGACAGGAGTCTAATCTTGCATCCCGCATGAAGGTATTGAACTCACACCCAAGAAATTAGATTTTCAGTAAAGACAGAATTTTTAAAGTTTTGCTTCTGACTCCAAAACAATGGATTTTAAATCAAACTGCCAAGATGTGATTGAAGTGCAGACTTGAATCTTTAATTCAGGGGGTTTAATAAAAAACTTTACATTAGCTGTATCTAGGGTAGTTTTCAATACCTGGCTAAAAGTCCTTTGCAGTCCTGCCTGAAGTCTAGGACTCACAGGTATCCCCAGTTGGTGTGTTTTCTCCCTTAAGATGTTCTGCTAAGCCTTTACTGCAGCCACCTTCAGCCGCTGCTTATTTGTGGGTCTCTCTGTCTTCTTTTTCAGTTTGACTGAAAAGTTGCTCTATTTGATTGAGATCAGGTGAATGTCTTGGCCATTGAAGAATGCCTCGTTTTTCTTGGACTGATTTTGCAATGTACTTTGGTTTGTCATCCATTTATACTGTTAAGAGTTTTCTGATCAGTTTTGCCGCATTTCTCTGGATCTGAGCAGAGAGTATAGCCCTGTACACTTTACAATTCCTCCTGCTTCTTCTAGCAGCAGTGACTTCAACAGTAAACACGATTGACACAATTGTTACATTTCACAAAACGGCCAGTATGACGTTCTTTAATTTCACTATTAATCTACATCTTTTAACATTACTTCTTTTTTTTTTCTTTTTTTTTTACGTCATATTACGTGATAAAACTTTAATTTGCTAAAAAAAAATCTGACTTTGATTTGACACTTAACACATAACGTATCTTTGATAAGGTCAGAGCAAGTCTTTTTCCTAGTTCATCTGCGTTTTGGCTTTATCATGCTAATGAATGTGTTTTGTTTTGGGGTTTGTTTTGTTTGTTTGTTTTTTGACAGAATTTTATTATGAGCACATTTCGTAATCTGACGGCCAAACAAACATGGGAAGAAGAAGAGAATGTGTCCAAACAGGAGCTGCGCTCTGCTCTGCTGGAGATGGCCTGTAATCTGAATGATGAAAACTGCACCCAGCAGGCCACGTCCCTGTTCAAAAAGTACATGGAGTCAAATGGTACCCTCAGGTACGTCCAGAGCACAACAAACATTTCATTGTCTTACTCTGCTTCGTTTCAAGCTGGTAACACGGTGAACAGTATTAGTCAAACATCATTTTAGAAATAGAGATTGACAGACCACGTGACTTTTGCGCATTGTATTGTGGGTAGGAGTGGCAACAAAATCAAAACACTGCATCAAGAGCTAGTATTTCCAGCATCATTAATTCTGCGGTTTTAATCCCTACTTGCATTTTATTTGCCCCCAAAACTGTTGTGTACAAAACGACGGTGAGTGTATGCACTCACAAAATGTTTAAAAACTTCAGATCCCTACAACAAGCCCAGGTCCAGTTTACTTTGGTGATTTGGACTATTCCATTTCACAGCTGTTGTTACATTTTTTTCTTTATCTCCTGGCCAACACAATCTATTTGTCATTTCAGGTTGTAGTATTACACAACATTTTCAGATCTAATAGAAATAAAATAAGAATTCATTCAATTCAATGTCTCTATTTATAACTGGCATTATTGTTTCATTCTATTATAGAATCTTACAGGAAAGACGCAACATTGTATTCCATCATGCTTTATTAGCTGCTTCGGTGAAAAACAAATCAACAATGCCAAAAAACCATATTAAAACAACATATTGGAAAACAGTTATTCATCACTTGATTGCTTCAATACAACACTTGGGCACATATATGTGGGACTTTTCATGGCTGTTTTGAGCTCTCTCTCTCTTAACCGATCAAATCCCGCTGTGGTAGCAGCTTTAAAATCAGTATGACCCAGGTTGATAGAGGGTGCCCAGTCTGTATTCCAGCATTTTGTAGGCTGGTTTTCCTACAAAACACAACAAACATTGGCCCGCAAAGCCACAGTGAACAAAGCAGCATAGCGTAACGAATTCATTTCAAATCAATATAAGACTTATTTGTAACCTACATCAACAATCATGTTAAACAGAAGACTTACCTTTATGGAAATGCTTGGAGCAGACTAACATGTGAACTGGAGTGTTCTGGGACATTATATTTGGTCTTCGAATGGCTGCAATCCAGGTCATCCGTCGGCTCTTTGTTACTTCGGAAACATGGCTTAAACAATTTCTCTTCCACAACGTAATCCGATAACAACTGATCTCTTTACCGGTCGGCTTCCCGTGGCTGGTATGCGACCGGCTATTGCAGTTAATAATACAACAGCATCTTGCCATTCTTTCTGTTTCTTTTTATCACTGTGTGACTGTTTTCATGTGAAAGCCTGCGTGTGCTAGTACCGCTTGCCACTCGTACCCATAATCCTTTGCGGTTTTACGCCACATTTTCAATCTCTATGGAAGGTGATGGGACCTAATGGAATCAGAAAATTAGAATTGAGTAGCAAAAGTAAAAGTCTGTTTCTTTTGTATTTATTGTCATAGGATTCCTGGTGATCTGCAGCAGACTGTATTTACAGTGGCTGGCCGGTCTGATGAAACCTGGGACGCTCTTTTCAACATATATGTACATGCCACGTACGATTCAGAGAAGCGGAAAATGCTAAAGGGCCTAGCATCCACTCAGAACCCACAACGTTTAGTACAGTAAGTTTTTTTTTGTTTTGTTTTTGCATTTGTTAATTATGCGCTATTTTAACAAAGTCCGTTTCCCCGCCCATTAATTTCATCTGCAACTCAAAGTCCTGCGATGCCATTAAAATGACTTCACTTGATTCCACCAGAGCAAAAGTTTGACATACTCAAGGTCTCACAGTTACTCACCTTGTCAGTGCTGTAGTTATATTACTGTAGTTTACATGTAAAAATTGTTACTGACCCTGCGAAGTATTTATAGTTTGTTTTTTGTTTCTGGCATAAGCAATCTTGATGTTTACTGACTCAGCAGGTGGAAAACTGTTATTAAATTACTTCAAACTTGTTCTGCGTTTGGGGCATCATTATACTGTAATGTATAATGGTGCCCCACACATCTAAACAAACTGATCTTCAATAAGTTGATTAGACTGCATTTTGGGGATGCTAGATTATGTTAGAATGTAGCTGATGTCTTTTTCAGTAAGTCCATCCATTTATTTCCATCCATGCGGGTGTGAATAAACAGCAGCCTACGCAGAGAAGCACAGACCTTGCTCCACCAGCTCTTCTGGTGTAAACTCAGTTGCTCCCAGATGTAATCTCTCCAGCATGTCCTTGGTCTGCCCCAGGGGCTCTTACTGGTAGAACAGGCACAAAACATCTCATCCAAAAGGGGCCCAGAAGGGATCCTAGTCACCTCTGCTGGGATCTTTCAAAACAGAGGAGTAGCAGCTCTACACTGAGTCCTGTCTCCATGGAAGAGCCCAGACAGCCTTCAAAGAAAGATCATTTCTGCTGCTTGCATCGGTCTTATTCTTTTGGTCACTACTCAGAGCTTGTGATCATAAGTGAGAGCAGGGACATAGATCATAGATTGATGTGACTGGTGAATCGCAACATCTGCTAGACACTGCCCTGTCTCTCTGTACATCTGCATTTATTTATCATGGATATTTAACAAGTCGTGAAAATGTTGTTATTAAAAGGTTGAGATTTGTATATTAGAAGTTATTTGTTTTAAAACCTGTTAATATAATAGTTATAAACCTTTGAGATGTACGGCAGTGGTGTCAAACGTGTGTCAAACACCAAAGGGTCCAATTCGACCCACTGGATGGCTTTACAGTAAAGTCATTAACTCCCCTGAATTTTCAATAGGATGTATTGTTAAGCCTTTTGTGATAATACCAGCATTAGTATACAGGAGTGAAAATATAAAAAATGTTTCTAGATTTCAACAAGAAGTCAGCAAATGAAGATTTTGTGCATTTTCACATTGATCTGGGAATTGTAATGACCACAGACTTCCCAGTTATTTTGAAGTAATGCTATGTTCTGTTTTCTGGCACATTTTTAAGGGAGAGCGGCAAAGAGCATTACACTTTGGTTTATGGCTTCAGTTTTTTAAAATTCTCCTCTATCTCAACTTAAAGCTTTCAAAATGTACTTCTTTATACTAAAGATTGTTTGATCCCCACGCTGTGTAGTTACAATCAGGGTCCTTTTGACATGTTTGGTTTCTTTCTAGGATTCTGTCGTTTGGTCTGAGGGGAAGTCTCATTCAGACTCAGGAGTTGCCTTTGGTTATCAGCACTATGTGTCAGAGCTTTGCTGGTTGTTTGTTTGCCTGGGACTTCATACAAGAGAACTGGGACCGCCTCATAGAGAAGTAAGTTAGTCTCAGAGTTTCCCTTTGTATAGCATTTTGAGATAATTTCACCTGAAAATTCAACGATTTTGTCTTTTGGGCTGCAGGTTCCCTATTGGCTCCTTTGCCATCCAGGCAATCATCAAATCTGTTACCTCCCAGTCCTCCACACAGGCACAACTTCATAAAGTATGTCCTTAAGTCATTTCTTATGAGAATGCATTTGTTTGACTCTCAGTGTACTTGTTTCGTGAGCTGAGCTTGTGTGTTTTGATGTCTTATAGGTGCAGGCTTTCTTCTCTGGTCTGAAGGAGCGTGGCTCTCAGATGAGGAGCGTGCAGGAAGCTTTGGAAACCATAAAGCTGAATCAGTGCTGGATGGACAGGAACCTGCCTACACTCCGACAATGGCTGTAACACAGATGCTCCAACAAGTCTCCACCCCAGTAACAAGCAACTGGGCTGTTTCTTTGAGACAACAACAGTATTTGCACTATCTTAGGACTGTGTCCTTTACCTCCCCTCATCCAGACCAGAGCGCTAATCAGTGGTTGTGCTCTAGCTGGTTGGACAGGTTGTTTTAATTTTTGAGATTGGTCCTGTAAGTTGTACATGATAGCTCAGGGTGGATCTGATTGTGTGTGTGTGATTGTGACAGGGGGTCGTCAGATGCAATACACACTCCTCATGTTTTATGCTGTTGACCAAACCTCTTCCGCAGTTCTCATCTAAACCTCACGCCTGAGCAGACAATCATGCTTTCACCCACACTCCTTTGGCCCAACCACCTCTCAGGCACCTTTCATCGTGAGCTGTAAAACGGCCACTTTAAAATAAACTCAATAGTATGATTAATGTCAATATTACTGTGTATGTGAAGATGCAGCTGTCAGGGATTTCTCAGCAATGATGAATTTAAATTAATGTTACTTGATAGATAGGATTATCCTTAGAGTTAAAGTAACCACGTGTCTTTTTGTTGGAAGAATATCTACCTGTCAGCCTGTACTAATTATTCATGCGATCCCAAGTGTTTGCTATACTAGTCATGGTTGGGCTACAAGATTTGTTCGTTGATGAGTAGATGCCAGTGTGTTGGTATTGAATGAATGTACTGACAAAAATATCCCACTGTGTACTGTAGATGATGTACAAAAAATAGTGCAGGTTTAAAATGATAGCCATTGTGTCTTAGGTGAGAGCAGGCAGTGCACACTGGAGCTAAACATTCATTTCTTCCTTCCTTTCTATCTCTCCCCCAAACTTTAATCCCAGCCAAGCTTTAATCAACAATTTTTAAATTTTTTTTTTTCTTTTTAAATTTGGATCACTTTCCTGCAATGAAGTCACTTTACAGACTCACTCTTTGGCTTTTTCCGCTTGTAAAGTTGTAATTATAGTGTAGATATGCTCAACCCCAAAGCCTTTTCCCTTGCCGTTTTGGATGTACCATTTTAAACATCTAAACTTTAAACATTTTAATAATTAGCTTTCTCGTGTGTGTGTGTGTGTGTGTGTGTGTGTGTGTGTGTGTGTGTGTGTGTGTGTGTGTGTGTGTGTGTGTGTGTGTGTGTGTGTGTGTGTGTGTGTAACTGTACACATCTACCTGATCAGGAGTCTTGGTTAAAGTGTTTTACTGCATCTCTTGATTTGAGACAACACCTGGAGGACATTTGCTCATGAATGTTGTGTTTTAAGGGCTAATGTGCATATTTAAGTATCCAAAGTATACAGAAGAACAATCCATGTTGATAGTTTGCTCAGTAAGCTGTTACTTGTCAGCCAAAAATAGGAATATTTAAAGTTGGTCCAGTGTTAACCACCTCTGTATGTTCACTATTTATTGTCTTGAGATAGCTCCTCCAGTTTTGCAACAAGATGTTATTTAAGTACAGCTGTACCCTCAGCCAAAGCGGTACTTATTCACTCTATTGCTTGCCATGATTGGCAGGTGAAATGTGATCATCATTACATTCAGGAGGCCTGCATCTCTTTTTTGGTGGTCATAATATTGTTTGTTCCATTGATGTAAAAAACAAAAAACAAAACAAAAAAAAAAACCAATGTCCAAAACAGTAGTACAGACTGTTGTTACAAAGGCATCTGTGCACAGTTGCTGGTAATGGTGGCCTTTTTTTTTATTTCGGAGAATGCAACTATTCCTGTGAACAGGTGAGAACGATGGTGTACGGCACTGTGAAGAACTGAGATGGTACTGATTTGGTTACACTTTACCAGTAAAGTTTCCCCCTTTATTTATTCCATTATATCTATAATGACTTTACAGAAATATTTTGGAATCCTTGCATTTTTATCCTCCTGATGATTTTGGCTCATTTTCCTTAGAAAGGCCTTACTATCTTGTTACATTAGCCGGAGAGTTTGATTGTCATGTCTCATTTTCTGTCAGAGTCCTGGCAATCATAGTATGTGATGATAGGGCTACTGTAGAGGACCACATGTGCAGTAAAGCCAGTCAGACTGTCTTTGTTTTTGTTGCACATTAATGAAATGCTGTAGATGCTTTTATCATTTTGTTGCTCTTCATTTGAATAAAAATATAAATAATAAAGGTTTTTTTTTTCTTCCTCCAAAAGGTTTGTATAGTTTATATACTGCTTAAAAACGTTTAAGAAACACTTTGAAAACACATCAGATCTCAGTGGTTAAAAAGAAAAGCATGCTGGATATCTATGCAGATATGGACCGGGTAATGTGTTAGTAATAAAAGGATACCAAATCATTACATAAAGTCAAACAACCAAAACCAAATGATACTCAGAAGTTTTTATGACAATCAAAGGATTTCATCCTGAAACCTAATGGCAGACAGGGTGCTGGTGCCTAGCCTGCAGAGGTCTGTGCATCCTTCTGTGAATACGCCTCTTCAGACCATCACTGACAGCCGTAGTGAATTTAATTAAAGTAACTCTATAAAATAAGCTTGCACCATTGAGTCTTACGTACATGGCTTAGGTAAAAGAGAATCTCTCAGTTTAGGGTTATGTAGGGACAGATCCGAATAGAATATAAAATCGCACTAAAGCTCGCTCAGTATTAAGAAAAGTATAAGATCTGTTTACAGTCAAACTTAAAGTCTGCCCGGCGACCAGGAAGGGTTTGTGGATGAGCAGAACATTGATCTAATTGGTTTCTGAGTCAGTGCATGTTCTCTGATGTGCAGACGAATGGCAGTATGAAAACAGCAGGCACTAGAGCAGCCTAGAAACCTGGAAGCTTTAAACAACCGGAAGTCATCAATGATACTTCTCCGCTGCACCACCAGAGGCCATCATAGCTCTGCTGTAAATGTTTCTACCTGCCCTAATTCATGCTCTTACAGTCCAAGATTGATTGATACTGATACTGACTATGTTTGGATGTATTCATGTAAAACCCAGATGCCCGATCCTTACAGTGGGAAGGTAAAACAGGACTGTTTGGTTGTTTGGCTCCATATATAAAATAACTGGCATAAATCCAGCTATTCAAACTTCAGTTGTCATTTTTATTTTAAATCAAGCATTCTTCGAGAACTTGGTGTACCTTGCATATCGATATACTGTGTGATACCGATTGAACTGAATAGGTCCCAAACTCGCAAATTATAGGTATGTTTTTGATTTTAGGGTAGTATAAAGAACACGTGAAATGCGGGTTTGACAGTGTACCCAGTTTGATAGGATTGAGGTTAATCAGGTCACATGACTGTAAAATCTGCATACCTACAGTGCTTGTGTTGAAGCTACTAGTGTTCCAGTTTGTTCTCTATACAGCAGTACTCATACCACAAATGAAAAGAAGCTTAAGTGTTTTAAACAAAACAGCTATCACTGCAAAGTTTTAGATTTGAAGTATTTCTGTGTTATACAGTCATGGTTAAAAATAAAATGCAGCTTCTGTCATTTTTGTGGTTTTATATATCAGAACATAATGAAAAATGATCCATCCATTACCAGGTCTAACAGTTAGACAAATGCAACTTCAGGTGAACACATGTCACACACTGTGTCATTATTTCCATCCATCCAACAAGCCCAAAGACACAAAAACTAAGTGCACCCAGTTGTTTAGTGGCTTGTAAAACCATTTTTGGCAGCGATTACATGTAGTAATTGTTTTCTGTATGACTTTGTCAGTGTCTCACATTATTGTGCAGGATTTTTGGCCCACTCTTCTACACAACGTTGCTTCATTCATTGAGGTTTGCGAGCTTTGACTGGCTCATGGTGTTGTTGGAATTGAGCTGTCAGACACATGACCAAACATTTGACTCTAGAATATTTTTGTATACTGAGGAGTTTATGGTCAACTGCAAAGTGCCTAGATCCTGAGGCTGGAGAATAAGCCCAAATCATCATTCCTCCACCACCGTGCTGATATTTAGTATGAGGTTTTTGTGCTGACACGCTGTGTTTGGGTTCACCAACATTTCTGCGGTGCATGTAGGAAAAACCTCTCCAAGTTGGTCACCTCTATAGGAGGGAAATTGTTCCAGAAGTCTCGTTGTTTTTTTCTTATGCAACTCTGTGAACCTAGGTCATGCTGTCATGTCCTTTTTTAGACAAAAGAAGCTTTGTCATGGCAACCCTTTTAAACAAGTCAGACTCGTTCAGTCTTTTTCTAATTGCACAGTCATGAACTTTAACATTTAACATACTAAGTAAGGCCTGTAGAATGTGAGATGTAGTTGCTCTGAGCACTGTAAGGCCTGACGCTAGGGTGAATTTGCTGGAACACCACTGCTGGGAAGGCTGCAAATTGTCTTGAATGTTTTTCACTTGTGAAAAATCTTTCTTTTATATATATATATATATATATATATATATATATATATATATATATATATATATATATATATGGAAATGGCCTTGTAACCCTCCCCAGATTGATGGGCAGCAACAATTGTTTCACTAAGTTCACTTCTGATCTCTTTCTGGGCGTTGTGTTAACACACATCTGAAAAAGCTTTTATAGAGGCAGTTGATACGCTCAACCTAGATGCTTTTTACCCTCCCGATGTCTATGGAAGCACTGAGGTTGCACTTATTTGTTTCACACACTGCTTTTGCATTTTGGCTTATTAAATTATGTAAAAATTTGAGACCCAGGTGGGCCAGGTGACTTTTTTTTTTGTTGATGTTTTGATACATAAAGTGCAATCAAAGCATCTCATTCTGTTTACTCAACATATGCACAGATGCAGACCAAAGATGACTATCAGGTCACATGACCACATATGTTTCATTTATTTAAAAGGTTATCTGATCTTTCAAAAGCACAGCAACCTTGTGACCAATGACGCCCAACTGAGGACAAGGAGAGGCTGATGCAGTCACTGGATCAGCGTTACACAAGTTCAATCAGCACTTCGAAACATTACATAACTCACGAGAAAACATTAGATAAACTCTGATCTCTTGTATGATCTATGAATGCGGAAATGTGAGTGACGTGTGCAACTCAACGAACTGATCAGAAGTCTATCAAGCAGACACGTTCAAACTATTGCTAATTATCCAAACTTCTGTTCTTTAATACCTGCATCTATTTGTTTTTCTTCTCAGTTGCTCTTTTCTGAAGAATTTGTGACTGCTACTGTTTTTATGTTTAACAAGTGAGCCTTATCCTCTCACAAATATCTCTTTATTGTCATTGTATATGTACAATGAATTTGTGAGTGTTCCACAGCAACTGTGCAGGAATAAAATATAAATAGTAATACAGAAGGAATAAATAGCAAACCACAGGAATATATACAAAATTATATGTATATGTACAAAACAATAGGAATATACACAAAACAATAGAAAAGGCACACATTAAAAGGAAAGGGTTGCGAAGTGCTTGGAATTAGTGCGAAGAAATGACTTGATCTGAATGGACACATGCAGGTGGTGCAGGTGCTGCTGTGCCTTCTTTACCAGGGCCATGGTGTTGCCATGATGCCATGAGGAGTTCTTTCATTTTGCGGACGTTTAGCTTCAGGCCATTTTCTGAGCACCAGCAGGACAAATTCTCTACCTCCACCTTGTATGCTGTCTCATCTCCATCAGAGATGGGCCCAACTACGATGGTGTCATCGGCATACTTGAAGGTGGTGTTGGTTGGTTGGATTGGTGTACAGTCATATGTGTGCAGGGCAAACTGCAGGGGGCTGAGAATGCAGCCCTGTGGGGATCCAGTGCTGAGTGACAGTTGGTGAGGAAATCAAAGCAGCAGAGATGCTGAAAGTTGCTGAAAGCTTTTGAGAATGTAAAATGTCATCAACCGGGGATGCAGGTGCTGCAGGTCCTCATTCAGTGAGACAATGGCAAAGACTCGTCATCTAATGTGGGTGTTTGTCTAAACTGCCATTTTTGGTGTCAGATCACTGCTGAATAATGGCGATATGTTGTTTTTCATGAAGAACTGTACATGTGAAGCTTTATGTTGGTATCTGGGGACTTTCATTGACAATTATGTAACTATGCCGCTCTTCATATCAGTCTAAATTGATGTGTTTCTAAATGGCAAATTAGCACATTTAATAAGGTAGAGTAACAGAGACAAAACTATTTTAGATTTCACTCAGTCACTAGGTAGAGCTTGCTAGTACTGGATTGAACCCCATTTTCAGATTCAGATAACTTTATTAATCCCAAAGAAAGGCAATTTGCTTGGAGGTTACCTGCACAACTTACTCACACAATCTAGAGTCCTTAGACACCAAGCAATAACTACTGTAGCATGTCAAGGCAAAGCTCAACAAACAATAATGTTTAAAAAAGAATAAAAATTAACAATACAATAATTAAATAGAATAACAAAAACTAAAATTGAACAAAGAAGGTGTTATAGCCGAGGGAATGAAGGAGTTTTAGCATTTCTTTGTTCTACACTAGAGTACAAGGAAGCAGTGATCTGAGAGCAGCTTCCTGAACTCAGATGACACACATGGTCAGGATGCAATAATAATGTGTTTTTATGAGAAGGTGTTAGCAGATGCTGTGGGAGGTTTTACCCTGAACAGGCAGATGAAATAAAATGTTAAAAGCCTTTCAATAAACTGCACAATAAAAATGACAGAACTGCTTTAATCAAAGATAGCATAGATTCAACAGGGAGCATTCCTTTTAAGACTTTGGCCCATATTAAGATGATACCATCACATAGTTGCTGCAGATTGGTCAGCTGCACATTCATAATGGGAATATCCTGTTCCACCACATCCCTAAGGTGCTCAGTTGGAATGATATAATCAGCCATCAGGAGATTGGTGAACTGTAGGGCTATGGGTTTAAAAACAATCCTCATTTGGTATCCAAAAGGGATCCAATTTGTGCCAAGAAACGATGGCACAAATTGTGTGAATGTGTGTGTGAATGGGTGAATGACTGGATGTAGTGTAAAGCGCTTTGGGGTCCTTAGGAACTGAGTAAAGCGCTATACAAATGCAGGCCATTTACCATCGCACCACCATCAGCAGCCTGAACTGTTGATACAAAGCAGCATGGATTCATGCTTTCATGTTGTTTACACTAAATTGTGACCCTGCCAGCTGAATGTTGCAACAGCAACACCTGGTGTGGTCTTCT